TTGCATCCACTGCATTTGCATCTGTACCATTTGCGTCATTTGCTGTGAAAGTTGTATTTGTGCCTGCTCCGTCGCAGATATCGATGGCTGCGAGCTAGTCATAGGGGTCGAATTCAGGTTCATCATAGTGTAGGGCCTGGGAATGCCACCCGGATGAATTGCCGATCCGGATACTCCGCCAGCCTGATAATCATACATGGCTTGGGTGTTGGGACTTCCCCTTCTCATGGCTCTAGCCCGTTCCTCAGTAGCAATGACCCCCACTAAGCCTCCTGGAGGTAACGCGGGCGATTGGCCGCCATGCACAGACGCACCTCCTCCGAGGGCGAGAGATTCTCTGTTAGAGGGATTGACCAGACTTGCACCAAAATATGGGTCTCGAGGCAGATTTCGGGCGAAGACAGGTAAGCTACTACGGTTCGCAATATCCTGTTCTGCGGCGGACGCCGGAGACGATATATACGGCTGTTGAAATGAGTTTCGAAGATTGGGTATAGAATTAGAAGGTGTCAGGCGACTGGGAGGCCGATTCCTGTTTGGAAAACCATGTGCTGCAAGAATCCCCAATGGAATCTCTTCGTCATCATCACCATCACTGCTCTTACCGCTTCCGGATAGATTGCCTTGTTGCAACAAATTTGGTGCACTCTTGCTAGCCCGATCAATGTCTGTCGGCAGGGCAGGAGCGGAAGATTGTTGGCCAGTCACTTTCATCATTTGCTGTCGGTAGACAGAGAGATGAGCCTCCTGCTTCCGTCTTTGCCTTTCAGCCTCACGGTTTTTCTCTGTTTCATCCTCCTCTTCGTATTCGCTTTCGCCAGACTTCTCACTCATGGATGCGTCGCTTGTGGATCTTATGAGCTCCTGTTGTTGTCTATAGTGTTCAAATTGGGAGGGCGTCATGATCTTGTTTGCTGAAGAGGCAGATGCCGGTTGATACTTCTCGTATTGTGCGGCCAGGTGAGCATGTGCCACAATTGAAGCATCAAGGTTGTTGTGTTCCGCTGGTCCAACTAACGTCGGAGGCTCCTGATGCTCAGTTTGAGCCGCACCCGGTAACAAGTCTTCGTTTTGAAAGAGGGATGACTCGTTCTCGACGTCTGAAACGCCTTGGTCGGATGTGGATGGTACCTGTACACCCTTTTTGCCTGAATAAAGAGACTCCATGATTAATTTAGCATCTTCGTCGTCGACAGGTGCGGGGTCGCGTTTGCTTGCATATATCGCACTTCGCCTCAATCCCTTATCAGAGGCAGTCTGTGGTTTATCGAGAGAGCGATGAGAGGTCGTAGCGGCCGCAAACGACACGATATGGGGTAGCGCTGCAGACCTTGGCCGTTCTCCCGCGGAACTTGTACTCGGGTCTGGGCGTGCATGCTGTGTGTCTAGCTGTTCTCTGGGCGAATCGATGGCTGCGAGTAAACCATCTTCAGAATGTCGGCTGTCCCATGAGTAAGGGGACGGCTCAACCTCCTGCGATCGATCAGTATCGATTGGTGTGGGGCGGGTGACTCTATCATCTTTTCTCGCAGGACCTTCGTATCCAGACTTGCGTGGTGCTGACGAGTTCTAGAAGACATGTTAGAACTCGACACCGACTGCTCAATGCAGAGATCAGCAAATACTCATTAGGGACGTACCGGCTGTAAAGCTCTCTCTTGTGGTGAATCCTGTGGAGCATAGTAGCGCTTTTCAAGGCTACCGAACATGTTTTGAAAATCGTCTTCCATCTCGTTAAATTGCAGCTCTGTCTCCGGAAGTCTCGGTGCGGTCGCAGTGTTTGTTGTGCTCGCAGTCATAGCTCGGTTTCTTGATTGTCCAGACATGGATAATTGAGATTGTGGGACCGCAGCCGAAGTCTTCGAAAATCTCCCACCGAAAGAAAATGTTCGCCCGGCTGCCCGAAGTGCACCAGAGATAGGAGGAATTGGTATATCGTACAAATTCCGCGAATGTGGGGACTGAGCCTCGATCGGAGGCGCTCCGTCTGTTGAGCGGCGTGTAGACTGAGAAAAGCGGGCGGAAGGATTTCCTTCGTATGTACTTTTCGACCACGTTCGTTAGTACCTTATAGCAGGGAAGTAGTAGGAAGAGGATCGTACGAAGTTCGTGAATGGTGGCTTTCCGATGCTGCAAATATGTTGCTGTTATCGTCTTCGGATGGCGAATACAGAGGTTGGCCTTCGCTTAGCCTCTTCGACATCAGGTTGCCATCGCTGGAGGATTTCTTGTCGGCGGATGGTCGTTCAAAAACCCTAAATGATGACTGAGGAGGATTTTCCACCTCCTCGAGAGCATTGCCAGACGATTTTCGTCGAGCGAAACCTTTGGGAAGCTTTATTGGCATCTGGACTGAAACCGAAGCGACCACTAGCGAAGCCGGAACCACTTCCAGATGGGATTAGCAAGCTACGCCAGCTCCCAGAATCCGCAATACTCCAGCCCCTGCCTGTTGGCGCTATTGTCGTCCCATAAAAGATTACCGGCGTGGTGGAGGAAGGGAAATTGGACTGAGGGACGGCCCGGGTAGCTGAAGGAGAGAGAAACGGCGTGGTTTTTCGAAAAGGGTGCTGGGTGTGCTTGGAATAATTCTGGGCCTTGTCTAAAGACCGCACAGATTTCAATCCCAGCGGGGCAGAGAGAGGCCTGCTCACGAGAATAATAATTCAAGCAAAGAAGTGGATGACGTGAAGGAAAATGAGATAGCGTCAAGGCAGATCAGTGAGTGGAAGATGTGGATGCTTGGGAGGCTTCGAGCTCACTCAGGGGTCTCCGAAGAATCTGGTTTGAAGAGGCGAGGTGGCCCAGGGGAGCTTTCTTTCTGATACAGCGTATACGTATAATGATCGATCAGCAGCGGCTGGGACCCTCACAGTCCACTAGCGGGTCCTTGGAAACGGGCTGGTTGGTTGAAGTGATTTCTTAAGCGACTTAACTTCTTAAGTGAGTGTCCGGCATTAGTGGGTTCAAGAGAGGGGTTGGTTGTGGGCGTATAAGCAATGAACGATAGGTACAGGACATGTAGGTTTTCTGCGACGGGGTCTCGAAAGGCAAAACGAAAACAAACCTGCCTAGGGGACAGGAGAGAATGAGGGGAGAGGGAGATGGATTCGAATGACAAAGACAGCTCGGAGCGCAACCCTAGTTTACTCACCTGAGTTAGTCGGTCAACTGGTCATTTGAATGACCAGACTAGAATAGTCCACCTTTTCAGGTATTATTAGTATCCACTGGATAGGACAAATAGATGTAATAAGAGCGACAAAAATAGAGGAGACTCAGACAGCTGGACACCCCTTGAGTCTTGAGTACTAGGTATTCGTACTAAATAAAGTAGGTTTCACCATTACAATATGAAGACCATTTGTTGTATGCTAAGGACTCTACGAAATAGAGATGAAGAACAATTTCAACCAAGAGGAATCTACTCGGACTCGTGACTTATCATTTCTGACAATGGTTTGGTGGTTACCCGTAGTGACCGGCTATTTAGCTCATGGGCTACTTGAAGAAACCTGAGTCTCTTGGGACTCAGCACTGTCTGTCATCAGATTCAACAGACCCTGGATGTGGTGGGGTGTGGAGCCCGAAACAGTAAGTTACGTACCATACCTAGTAGTTTTCTAGTCTCATATCTAAGCCTCATAGGGGAGAGAGGGGGGAGGGGCGAATGCTGCTAATAATAGTAGCACCCTTCTCTCCTTCCGCCCGTGACGGGGACTCCTTTTCTGCTACTACTTCTTCTTCTTCTTCTTCTTCTTCTTCCTTCTCCTCCCACATGGGTTGATAGTATGTAACGTTGGTAAAAGTATTTTGTGTGGCAGAAGATTCCCAGAGGAGAAGCCTGTGTTCTATGAACGGCGAATCGGATAAAGGGAGGTAGGTGATTGTGCCTGGTGCCTGTTGCCTGTTTGGAAAAATCCAGCTACGGAACCAATGATATACCTACTGAGAAAAAAGGGGAAGTGGTGTAAATCCAGACTTCGGTAGGAAGCGGGTGGCAGTGGCGATGGAAATGGAGAGAAAGAAATGTACAGTACAAAAAAGTGGTCAGACAAAAGAAGAGTGTGAGTTGGGCGGCGACCCTCAGAGTGTACTCTGTACCACCAATATTACCATCCATCTTTATGACTGTCCGGCAACGCAAGGGGCCGTCGAAAAGATCGGCTGGTTCGCTTCTCAAGCCCGCTGCTATTGATTTGAATTTGTTGAAGGCTTGAGGGACCAGGCACCCCGTACCAAGAGGGAAGCTTCAATAGTCGAGGTAATATCTTATCACATGATCACACAATTAGCTGGTTCTCCAGGTGAATACGATTAGTACGATACCACAATTATGCTGTATACACTGTATTGTAACCACAGTTTGGATGCGCGGGATTGATGTGTATGGCCAGCCGTCTTTATCCACAGACTAGATCCATTGTAGGCATTAACTAGCTCCCCGGCCATCCATTCATGTTCTAGACTAGCATACCTAAGTTAATTACTCCGTAGTAGTCTACTTTTACTAAAACCAATTATCACGTGATATACAGTAGGTTCATTCAAGTCCCCATCATCATGCATACATCAACTAGATTAGACAGAAAATGAAACGCACAGGTCGTTAGACTTGGTCATCGTGGCTCATGACCCTTTCGTCATCCATTCATAATAAGAAGAATCCCCGAGTGTATCTGAATTAGTCAGCATACAAGCTAGTTTCCCCTGTCCCTCCCAGTATCGTTACCAGTGGATTCATAAATGATACGTAGATTGCCGACTACACTGAAAAGGCCTCGGGATGAAGGCGATGGCACTCCAGGTAAGCAAGTGTTTGATAGACCACAGAAGGCTTCCAGTAAGGTATGAGGTTAGATGACCTGACCATATTTCTTGCTCTGATTTCGAAAGTCTGTTATAACAACGAATTCAAATTGAACCGTGATACTTTTGGCCCTAGTATCCATCAATTAATTCCTAGCTGATTTAAGAGCCCCTATCTTCGCGGTTAGAGATTAGGAAACCATCGATTGTGATTGAGAAGTTCCCTCCATTACAATGGAGTCTTGTGCCTTCAAGCCACCTATCAGCGCAACACCTGGAGGTATCTTGATATGGCGGAGGTTGAAGCAGGCGAAAGCCACCAACTTTTGGATGTTTGGGCAGCTTTGAAAGATCTGACCCACGAGATAATCATCCATGACCGTATGGAACGATACGTCAAGCTCCCTCAGCCTGGGATATGTGCGGCCATCCGAAAAAACCTCAGTAAAGGCAGCATGTGATATGTGACGACAGGACGAGATATTCAACTTGCGAATCATAGAGCCTGAATGGTTCATGAGTGCAATGAACCCATGAGATGCAAGGCCTGTGGCTTCTGCCGGATCGTCTGGGCTAGCATTATCGATATCACGCGTTGATGAAAGATCCACTATTTCTAGAGGAGGATTTGGCCAGTCTGCGAAAAGACGCACAAATCCCTTGTCAGTGCAGGTGACGTTATCCGAGAAGCGTAATTTGGTCAATGTCCTGCACTTGGCGTGTATCATGTCAAGTAGATGATCATCGGCAGTAGTGAAGCTTTCCAATGACAATGTCTGCAAGCTTGGCCCCACCTGATTTATGGTCTGGAGAAGAGTGTCGTTCTCCACATCCTGATAGAAGTGTAAAGACAAATGCACCAAACTTGTCAGGTTAGAAATGGCTTCAAGTGAGCGATCCCCAAGCTTCCAGCAGTGTTTCAATTTCAAACACCGAAGTGCGGTACAGCAGCTGGTCAGCGCCTCCACGGTCTCGTTGTCCAATGAGCAATCAAGGTTGGACAGTTTGAGACTCTCTAGCTGTGATCCTAGCCTTTGGAATAGCTGCCGCCATGAGGAATCTGACACCAAGTTGGTAGCATCTAGCTGTAAACTCTTTATATGGAGGTCACGGCTCAACATGTAGCCCACCACCTCATCTTTCATTTGACCTGCAAAGCGAAGGTTGACATGAGTCACAGAAGGCATGAATGCAAAAATCTTCTCAAAATCCTGTGTTTCAAGCCCTAGATGCCATCTGTTAGTTCTCATTACTTGGGGGAAAGCATAAAAGAGCGAATAGCAGAAAGCTTGTGTGATAGAAAGAGTGAGAATGCCACAAGGGAATAAGGAAACTGAACCAGAGATGAAAACGTACTAGCGGCATCGTAAATATCGATAGAGTCAAGGTCTGGGCGAAGGAAAAGATTGAGAGTCCGAGGTGTCATGACCCGCCTTTTGGAAAGTATCTGACTCAGACGATGTAATAGTTGCGGTGGCAAGTCACCAAACTCTTCAATATCGTTGATGTTATCTGCAACTTTCTGCCAGCTAGTATTAGGTCAAAGCGCAGCGACTTCAAAGGTGTGGTGATCAGCGTACCTTCGTGCACATCTCGGCCAAGCTCAGGGCACCTTGTTGCGCGAGGCCGTCGAGAAGATCGCTCTGATTTTGACGACGACTAGTTCTCGGTCCGCGCTTCTTTGCTTTTGCTTTCCTCTCATTGTCTGTTTGTGCCTTTGAGCATTTAGCACAAAGAAGACCGTGGTTTGGTCCTGTCTTGCTGTATGGAGTAACTGTGAAGCGTTTACCGCATAGCTCGCAATTGTCAAGCTGGCCCGGCATCGGACGCGATCGTTCGTGCATCATCTCACGAGCGATGAAATCATCATCATCATCTGGCTCGCCAGTTCGTCGCGCCTTGCGTCGGGCGAACTCTTTACTCTGCTTGATTTTGGCCAGAGCAACAGTCTCTTGACGCTTTCGCTTCTTCTGCTGCTCTGGCGACTCACTAGTGCCCTCATGTGGAGAGTTCTCATCATGGTTTTCCTGAGCCTCATCAACCTGGCGTTCTTCATCTCTCAAACGTCTTTGGTAGTCTTGGTGAATTTGAGCCGCGGAGATGTTGTTGGACTAGAGAACGAAGCCTTATTAACTCATTTATATTGGATGGACGGCGAGGTTAAGAATAATCAGTACATACAGCGAGAAAATCAGTAAGTGCCGAATGCCTGTGATGTATCATGAGTAGTCCTTCATGATATAGAGGTAATCCGGGAAGTGGGAAGTGTCATTGGGAACATACGGGCCTCGAATTTGGTTCCTTATCTGTCTTCTCTCGCTCCTTCAACGTGTTAGTGAGACGCACAGCGGCTTGCTCAAGGCAACAGGACGTACATTTTGGTTGAGTAAAAAAACTGTGGATGGGATATGAGATACGTTTGAAAGCTCAACTTCTGCAGCAGAAATGATCAGCAGGGTTATAATGGGAGGTCTTGGCTGGTCACAGGATTCCGTGACGATTTCGCGTTAAGTGAAACGCGAGGTCCACCAGGCGGTTGCTTATCGCCTCCAGGGTGGCAAATCAAGGAATACTTGAGAAGGGAAGTTTTGAAGCGATAGGTCCGAAAAACCAACAATTTGTATTCACTCAGTCTCTTTCTTTCACTTTTGCCTCTGTCTCTCTCCTTTTCAATTTTCGTATTTTTTTTCTTTTCCTTTCTACCTGTCTCTGACTCATCTGCTTTCTCTGTCGACACTCCTTTGCCTCTTTCCGCTAACCTCACCCTGGCTAGATCCTGATCCCGCACCTTTCTTATCGGTCATCCATCCCTTCACGCATTACACTGATAATACCCACCGTTCCACCGACTGCGAGATCTATCCCACGGGTTTGGTATCAGTCTGTCCTTTTGTACACAGTGACCAGGCAACCAAGCGATCAACACAATGGGAAGAAGTTCATCTACCGTGAAGCAAGGGCGGTCATCAAATACTGGTAAGGCGAAGATCTCCTATCTTTTCCCATGCTGAATAACACGGGTGCTCAACTTGCAATAAGCTATCACTCACTGAGAGCAAGACCTGAAGATATTATGAGGATGGCAATCCTGATACTAGCTGATATGTGATGTATAGACACTGTGGCAGTCTTTCCCAGGCGCACTTCTGCACGGCTGAATCGAACGTCATTGACCTCGTCAGCCAGCATTTCCCAGGCAGAGAACAATGACAGATGCGACCCTTTCCCTGCGACTATGGGACATCAAGAAATCAAGCCGATATCTATCGAAATTTCTATACCTTCCAGGAGAGCGGCAACATTATCCGAATCTGAAACTTCTCTGTTGGACGAGGGCTCTTCCGGAGTCTCAACGCGAACATACAGTACGCCAGCGACCAGTACTGCAGCTACACCAGTCGAATCTGATGCATCTGGGTCGAAGAAGCGAGTTAGTGCCTCTGCTCGTACGCGAGAACTACATTCAAGCACTATGTCCCTAAACTCAAACCGAGGGTTAAAGAGACCTGCCGCATCCATGTTTTCTACGAGCGTCACGACGGATGCTGCTCTAGCGGAGGCTCTACAGGCTCAAGAATATCAAGGGCGGTCATCAAAGCAACCTAAATCGTCTCTTCATTCTACTTCAGGTAGCAATTCCTCTGCAACTGATATGGGACGCTCAGTACGGAATGAGAGTCTCCATGCACAGCGTCTTTCATTCAGGAAACGACCACTTCGATCAGCTCAGATCAGCACCGCTCTGTGTGATGACGAACCTACAGGTGACGAAATGAAAACTGACCAAACGGATGTTTACTCAAGTGAATCCGATCTCAGCGACTGTTCGTATTCTCTGACCGAGGTCAGCGAAGATGAAGACGCCAAGCCACAGGAGCCAATCAGAAGTAGGGCTGCACGGAATTATGGTGTTTCAAGGACGTCACGACAAGGTCCTACGTCGGCTCGAAGCAGTTCTCAAGTTCCAGGGGATGTTTGGATGACCCGTCGGGTATGTCTTTTGAGTGAATTTGCTGGAAATGCATCACTAAATTACTCTGTAGGCGATCAAAGAACGGAAGAAATTAGAGAAGCAGCACCCATCCGTAATCACGATGTGGGATGATTTGGCAAAATTGCCTCCAATCAAGCCGGTAGCGGCAAATCAACCAAGTGGTATATCAAGGACGCTCAAGTCATTCCAGCTCGAGGGTCTCAACTGGATGATGCAGCAAGAGCAATCGCAGTATAAGGGGGGTCTCCTAGGAGATGAGATGGGCATGGGTAAAACAATTCAGGCTGTTTCCCTCATTATGTCCGATTACCCTGCCGGAGTGCCATCGCTTGTAGTAGTACCTCCAGTTGCTCTAATGCAATGGCAATCCGAGATCAAGGTTTGCTTCTTGGTCCTCTCAGTGCTTCAATACAACTGACTTCTTTTCTTCAGGAGTACACCAGTGGTCAACTGAAAGTTCTTGTCTATCATAATTCCAACCCCAAGGTCAAGACTCTCTCAAAAAAGGAGTTGGAAACATATGATGTGATTATGATTTCATGTAGGTGACCAGACGAGCTATGGCATGGAAATGAGACTTACAATCTTTCAGATGCTGGCCTTGAGTCAATCCATCGCAAAGAGTGGAAGGGTTGGAATAGAAATGATGGGATTGTGAAGGAGGACAGTAAGTGATACACATTTCAATGTGTTCTTTATACATACTTACAGCAACGCAGGCGTCATTCATTCCATCAAATACCACCGACTGATCCTGGATGAAGCGCACAGTATCAAGGTAAGCTTGGTGCGTCCGCTCCTGACTATGAAGCTCCAATACTAAAACCCAAAACACTAGCAACGGACAACGAGTGTTGCCCGCGCCTGCTTCGCATTAAAAGCCAACTTCAAGTGGTGTCTCTCTGGCACACCGGTTCAGAATAGGATTGGCGAATTCTTCTCACTGCTTCGTTTCTTGGAAGTCCGTCCTTTCGCCTGCTATTTCTGTAAGCAATGCAAGTGTCAACAACTTCATTGGTCACAGGATGCAGAAAAACGGTGTACTACATGTAAACATAGGTAAGGTTCATTTCAGTGCTTTGTGTTGCTTAACTGTTAACCTCGACTGTAGTGGCTTCAGTCACGTGTCCGTTTTCAACCAGGAGATTCTCAATCCGAGTAAGAGATTCACAAGTCGTCCACTTTTGAGACTAGTCTAATTGAGAACAGTAACCGAAAGAGACCATGCTCATGCTAGGAAGGAAGCTTTGGCAAAATTGCGTCTCTTGACGGACAGGATCATGTTGCGACGAATCAAGCGAGACCATACAGCTTCCATGGAGCTTCCACCTAAACGGTTTGTTGCATTCTGCAAGATGAGTTGAGCTGCGCTGACTCGTCTCTAGTGTTGTCATTCGTAATGAATTCTTCGGAGAGATCGAACGTGATTTCTCTAGGAGTATCATGACAAATTCTACTCGCCAATTTGATACCTACGTGAGCCGCGGTGTCATGCTGAACAATTACGCCAATATTTTCGGACTTATCATGCAGATGCGACAAGTGGCGAATCATCCTGATCTAATTCTGAAAAAGCATGCTCAGAGCGGACAGAATGTTCTTGTCTGTAGTATATGTGATGAACCTGCGGAGGAAGCTATCAGATCTCGCTGTCATCATGAATTCTGCCGCAGATGTGTCAAAGACTATGTTCAGTCCTCTGGAATCCAGTCTGTGGTCGACTGCCCCCGTTGTCACATTCCTTTATCGATCGATTTTGAGCAGCCCGATATCGAACAGGAAGAGGAGCACGTCAAGAAGAACTCTATCATCAACCGCATCCGAATGGAGGACTGGACGTCGTCGACTAAGATCGAAATGCTGGTTTATGAGTTGTATAAGCTTCGAAGCAAGAAACAGACACATAAATCAATCGTCTTTTCTCAGTTCACTTCCATGCTACAGCTTGTCGAGTGGCGCTTACGCCGAGCCGGTTTCAATACAGTTATGCTCGACGGTACAATGACACCAGCGCAACGGCAAAAGTCGATTGAATACTTTATGAACAACGTGGATGTTGAGGTGTTTCTCGTCTCACTCAAAGCAGGCGGTGTGGCACTGAATTTGACCGAGGCGTCGAGAGTCTTTATCATTGACCCGTAAGTCTTCCAAAGGCGGTGGATCTTATCTTATATCTTGTCCACTGATGCTTTATTGTCTTAGATGGTGGAACCCCGCCGCTGAATGGCAGAGTGCGGATCGCTGCCACCGCATCGGGCAGCGCCGACCTTGCGTCATCACTCGACTCTGCATAGAGGATTCAGTAGAATCTCGCATTGTTCTACTACAGGAGAAGAAGGCCAATCTCATCAATGGCACCCTTAACAAGGATCAGGGGGAGGCTTTGGAGAAACTCACTCCGGAAGATATGCAATTTTTATTCCGAGGATCCTGAAATGCATAAGACATGTGAGTGGTCCGGGCTTGACCTGTTATCCATTTATCTCATGGTTATTGTTGATGCCAGGAAATTTGCCAGGTATCCCGTGCTACTACCAGTAAATGGGATCCACTTGTTCCAATGAGACATGTAATTACAATCAAGACATCTTAAAGTGCCTGAATCATTATCCGTGGGATGGTTGGTCGTACACCAAAACCAAATTCAACGCGGCAGCCTAGAATGACGTCACTTGATTGCGATAATCCAATGCAAATACGAGTATTTAGTCTGCATTCTGTACATGGATGAGTACATGGAATACCTTTCTCCCATGAAGAATCGCTCCCCCGCTCGTTCTCTCCTTGTGCAAACCTAATTTTTATAATATCATTCCAAGTCGCGTCAGCGCATGGTACTTTGGATCATCGAAGTGTACATCGATCAGGGACTGTGTACGGTGGGCACTGCATGGGGCAGGCTCATCAGGTATCGTGGACTTTACTCATTGCCAAGCGACGATGTACCTGTTGATTACCTATTACGTACTGTGGAATCTGTAACTGAATAGGTGGAACGTGGTCTCCGCTACGCCCTACAGGGAGACTCGGTCCCGTCCTTCCGTCATCGTTCAAAACTCCCGGGGGCACGATCGACGGGAAAGAAGCCTTGCCGAGACCAACATTCACGGGCTCTCTCTCTCTCTCACACACACACACTCTCTCTCTCTTCTCCCCCACACCCTCTCTCCCTCTCCCTCATTTTTCCGGAGGGGCCGCATGATGTCAGTTCCCCTAACTCCGAGGTGTGGTTGAGTGGATTCCAAACCACGTATTTTTCTTATTTCTGGTTCGGATCTCTTTCCTAAGTGCCCGCACCTCCTTTTCGAAAAGAGGAATCGAAACACAGAACAAGCGTTTGAAAAGAGAAAGAAAGAAAGCAAAGAACTAAAAAAAGGAAGAGCACAAACAATTAAAAAACAGCACGGAACCTCAGACGTCTCCTGCATCATCCTGCGCCTGCTTGCTGATCCCCGCACACTCTTGCAGGTAACTGGCGGACCCGCGGGCCCTTACCCCATTACTTGCTATCGTACTTCATTTTATCCAGCTTCCACTCCTTCCCTCCGCCTCCCATGGAACAAGCGCAACCGCGGACACGTCGACGGCGTCCGGTAGATAAGTATGGTCCCAGATTCTTCGACAAGACAGAGCACGTGCAAGACAGAGCGGCTGCCATGAAGGCCACTTTGCACGGGGACGAACGCTCGCAATCGCAACCTGCTGGGGGCTTTGATAGTACCCCGTATCCTTATGCTCCGCCAGGGTATACCGTCAAATTCACTTTTCATCGTGGCGTCAACCTTCCTTGCGCGGATTTTGGTACCTTCTCTTCGGATCCTTATGTTCATGCTCAATTAATCGTCGACCTTCCGCAACGCCACAAGCAGGATCCCGTTATCTCGTTCCGCACACCTACGGTGCGAAAGAACCGAGATCCAGTCTGGGAGAAGAGTTGGATTGTGGCCAATGTTCCGGCATCGGGCTTCCAGTTAAAATGTAATGTTTACGATGAGGATGCGACTGACCATGATGATAAACTGGGAAACGCCTACGTTGAAGTAGACTCAATCGATGAAAATTGGCCTTCGATTAAGGAACAATCTTATCGTGTCAAGAAGCGACTGGGGAGCAAACGAGTATACTTGTTCGGCAACATTGCTGCCTTGGCTTCACGACGCCTCGACGTGGCTTCACACTTGGTGATCAGCATCCATTGCCTAGGCAAGACGCCCGGTGATGAAGGAGCGCATATGTACACCATTGGACCAAATTACTGGTTCAAGCATTTCTCTCCCCTTATTGGCAGGCTAGCAGGCACCAAGGACGAGGTCCAGAGCCAGAATGGTCAAAAGACAATCAGTCGATACAAGTACGTCTACCTGTTACAATCCAAGCATATAGATACAACAAGTACAACAAGCTCACTGCCCACATTCTAGCTTTCAAGCAATTCAAATACAACTCAAAGGCCCTGTGCCCGCCGAGCTTTATCATCGCTATGTCGAATTCAAACCATTTGTGGCCGGAATGTTCACGTCCCACAGTCTTCGTGGCAGGATTCTCAACCGAGCGCTCCATCATCAACATGAGCGCATCTACAACTTCGACAAAACAACTCTTACCGGTCAATTCGCATCGCCATGTGTTGAACTTACTCAAAAGTTTTTGGAGTTTGTTCACTATGCACAGGGTGGGAGAATTTTCACCTATGTTATTACACTTGACGGACAATTTCGCTTCACGGAGACTGGAAAGGAATTCGGCATCGATCTCTTAAGCAAACACACCATGCACAGCAATGTATCAATCTATGTCGCGTACTCTGGGGAATTCTTTCTTCGACGACGAAAGCATCGCCATCATCGACAACCTGACACCCCGCATCCTTCAGAAACCTGCAACTACTCCGCGGACGAGTCACAAAATCACTTGGAAATATCGGTCGATCCTGCTGACTACGAGCTTTTCATCGATAACGATAGCGGCACCTATCGTCCCAATGCAGAGTATCTTCCTCTTCTCAAACAGTTCATTTCATCCAACTTGGTAGGCCTTCATATAACCACACTTGATTGCAAAAAGGATGCTGCGCAAATGGAAGCATTGAAGAATGAGCAGCGAGATTTCAAGAAGCATGAGGGAAATCAAATGATTTTCCTTCAGCGAAGTAACAGCTCATCACTCTCTCTTTCCAGCTCAGACGAAGAGGACCTTAATGAACGCAGCGACGCGCAAGTGCCACGCAGAGCAAGGGGGGACCTGGCACAAAAGGTCCACGAGATGCGCGATGTCAAAGGCCACTTGATGAACTGGGCACAAGGAGATGACTATGCCGGCCCCAGGTTCAAGGCGGGCAATTCCGCACAAGATCATAGGGGTGTTGGAGGGGGTACTGTTAATTTATAGATGCCTAACTCCTTCATGTTCAGGCACACCGGAATCCTGCCTGCGTCGACCTATTTCGTACAGGGCTTTCGCAATGATCACTTGCTGAACATCCTCGAAGCTTTCTTCCATCCTTCGTTCCCCTTGGCCCTCATATCTTTATTTTGCCTCTCAATAGGCTCTTCGCTCTGCTGTCTTGCGTGTCTCCTCAGCGATCATGCTTATCCATTATACCTTTGTTATCAGGCCTCTCATTGGTTTATTCTTAATGTTCATGACCTTATTGTTTCGTCCTAAGCTCAGAACAGGTCAAAATGCAACTAATTGCGCCATTGTATAAATCTGTTTTCATTTAAGATTCAAGCCCGCCTGTGGGGATGTCCGGGTGTCGTCTCTACTTTAGCTAATTGTCTGGTGATTATAGAGCTTGCGCTCGACGAGTAGAATGCAGCCAGTATGTTGCTCAGAGGTTGTATGCTGTGGACTCGATGCAATAAGCTAAGAATGCGACTGATTCAAAGGCCACTGGATGGTAGAATGCAGAACAGTTGTTTGGGTCCTGATGGCGTTCCTGGAGCACCAAAAGAAAAGAATAGGAAAGTCGGAAGGAGACAATTTGATTACACTGTCCCTCAACTGGCTCTCGCAGGTCACTATCACTATGCCTAGACATACGAACCTACATGACAGCCGCTTCGTGAAGCACCTACCGTTCTATCTGCTTTGCGAGCACGGAAGGGAGCCCCCGATTTGATAGGATCAAGACAACCCATTTAGGACGACAGGCTGCGGATTAAAAGGATATTGGGGCGAACTGAAACCTATGCTTACACGAGGGCTAGGAGAATTCCCTGGTGCGGGCTGTCATATGACTGAACTCTGATAACAAGATTGTGGGGGTAAAAGAAGCTGACAGGGAGCTGTTGACAGGCATCATGAAGAAGGTAGACCATGAATAGCTTGATCAAACCTCCTCGGAGAAATGACAGTACGTACGAAGTAACAGAAGAGGAAACAACTTGAAAAATGAAGGACCAAACACAACTTGGAAGCAGCTTTCGTTGTCGCAGGTTCAGCCGGCAGAGAAATGAGCATCTTACCCGATTCTGCCTTAGCCCCCCCGGCGGGTCTGACTGCTTCGCCCTGGCCTACTTACATGCCCTCCGTCTCTCTTTCTTTCTCACCCTCTCTCAGATCGCAAACAACTTCAAAGGCCAGATTCCGCATCTGTTCCTCGGGGTTCTCGTTTGCCGTGTCTTCTGCAGTTTCTAAAGGGCTATTACTTTGTTAGGATCTGTCTGCCATTCTGGGCGTGCTCCATTTCCATCTCTCTTACCCTTTGCCCTCCTCACCCCTCTTCCCCTCCTCCCTCCCTTCAATTACCACACAGCACCCCCCCCTCCCTACCTCCTCCTCCCCGCGAATTTCAGACAACACCTCCTCCTGGCTTATTATACTTGAACTCGGAACAGCAAACTCTGCTCCTTCCTCCTAGTTACCATCGCCTCAGCGACCCTTCCTCCGCGCGCAAGCCATTTTCGTGACTTCCAGCACATGGTACACGATCGTCTCGCAGCGAGCAACTTTGGTCGCAAATAATTAAGTGATCCATCAATTGTCTGGATGACTACCCATTCTCTCGAGAATCTCATTCTTCTTCGCCTTAGCCTTAGTCTGGCGCCACATCCAGCTACGGGAGCGCAGACTGTCGATGCCCCCTCCTAGTCACCGGTCACTTCTCCGGTCTCTCCTGTTTCGAGCGGTGATTCGATACCTCCAGCCACTTCACTATGGGCAATGTCGGAAGCCGCCTGGATGACTCCGGGAGCCTGTATTTCAAGGACCAGGCAAAATGTACGCCCCTCTTCAATTATAGATGCAACAGATGTTGTGGCTCATATGGACCCGTTTAGTCACGATCGCTGCTGTAACGATAACCAATTCTAGGCGCCGAGTGCTTCTACATCTCGTTCCCAATTCCTTTCCTGCTACCAGATACACCGCTAGGCGCGAGGTTGGCGATGAGAGCCCGATCGAATATATACAGGTAAATCGAGAACGCCGGATATACCGTAGCGGTAATCGCTTGGATTTCTCGGGGAGGGCATAAACACCAGTAGCTAACCGCTTCATTCATCGGTGGACAGGACCCTGATCTTTCGTTATCTGCACCGGTGCCCACATTCCTCCTGCGCTTGACCAACGAAGACGAGCTGAATTTCAATTTTACCTTTATCCTGAGACAAACACAGACGGGGAACGCGGCCAATGCCACTGTCAATGGGGTCTCAACCTCTCTGCCCGAAGTAGCCGACACCGTTCTAACAGGCCTCACTTTCGCGCATGCGCCAAACACTAGAGATCTAGACAATCTTATCACTCGCGAGTTTCACGCCAATCCGAACCTCCAGAACAATTCTAATGTGCAGCTGGTGGGAGATTATTCGACTTCGGGCAATCCTTCGGTGCAATTTGAATGGTCGTGGAAATGGAAACCGCCCAAGGTCATAGAGGATAAAGGGGGTGGTTGGAGAAACAGCTGCAGTTTCCTTGACTACGACCAGAGAGCCAATCGGTTGAATACCCTCGCTCATTTCTCGTTTTGGGTGCACAGCACTCAGCGTGCTCTCCCCAGTCCTCAGGTCTATTCACCAAACCTAGAAATCCCTGTCCCTTTTCGGAATCGTATTCCTTCCTCACAGTCCATCGTCTCGCACTCCAGTGATGCAGATACAGCATCTAACCCTCATGCTGTGCCCGTCACACCCCCAGAAGCTGGCGACACGGCCTTTGTGCCCCCACCTGGGTATGCACCCCCCCTTCCTGTCAAGGTCGATCTTCCCCATTCGCGCCCCGGAGAGGACATGAGCGTGGTTGAGGATGGCCCGTTGTTCCGTGCGACGATGAAAGCATTGGAGCAAAAGACAGGGAATATGCGAGCGAAGATAAAGAAAGTCCTCAAAAAAGCCGAGTCCGCCCAGCAAGCGCAAGTGGCCTGCAACGATGCTGTAGAAGCATTTCTTTCCGCACTGAATGAAGCTTCTACTTCTAATGCCAACGCGATCCAGCCTGCACTTGACCATTATTTTGAAAAGACGGCACGCCAGATTCTGAATTATGAGCGACTAAACACGACACAACTTCAAAAACTCGTTATTGAGCCATTGGTCAAACTCTACAATAACGATATTAAACAGGCCGAGGCCAAGAAAAAAGAGTTTGAAGAGGAGAGTAGGGATTATTATGCCTATGTCAGTCGCTATCTTGGCCAGCGACAGGATTCTTTGAAGGAAAAAAAACGAGCGGAGAGTGACTCGAAGTATCAGGCTAAGCGGCGCAATTTCGAATTAAAGCGTTTTGATTACTCCTCGTTCATGCAGGACCTGCACGGGGGCCGCAAAGAGCAAGAGGTTCTCTCTCACCTTACTAAGTATGCTGATACCCAGGCGAAGAGTTTCCTTGCGGCCGCCAAAAAGGTTGACAATATGATTCCTCAATTGGATGCTTTGATACATGAGGTCGGGCAGGCGGACAAGGAATTCCAATTTCAACGAACGGAGAGGGAAGAAAAGCGGAGAGCACTGGAAAAGAGCAGCAACACTTTTCTCGAACCCGACTCTCTAATCTCGGCAGGCGCCCCGTCTACATTCTCAGGGAGTACCAATGGCACTCAGAAACTGGAAAGTGACCTAGGCCGCGCAGATAGCACCGGCTCCCAGTTGCGAAGTGTGGCTAGCAACAACTCATCAATTCTACCACAAGCAAACTCGTCTACTACACCGGCAGCCGGGTTGTCCATCCTCGCGTCGACGGCGGGCTCAAACGGTATGTTCACGCCCAATTTTCAATTACAGTCGTCATGATGGCGCTCTCTGAGGTTGACTCGTGTTCCATTCTCAACCCTACTGATGATAACGCAGGCCAACAAAGGAAGGAAGGTCTTCTGTGGGCGCTGTCTCGCCCAGGCTCTCATATTGATCCCAAAGGCATCAACAAACAAGCCTGGCACAAGTGATTTCACCCACCTTTTCAGTTTGCCTTTAAACTAACCACATGCAGATTCTGGATTGTCTTGGATCAGGGAAAACTTTCGGAATACAGCAATTGGAAACAGAAGCTTGACCTCCACATGGATCCCATCGATCTGAGAATGGCATCCGTCCGAGAAGCCCGAAACGCCGAGCGGCGATTTTGCTTCGAAGTTATAACTCCACAGTACAAACGCATTTACCAGGCGACCTCCGAGGAGGATATGTCCAATTGGATAAGAGCAATCAACAACGCTCTGCAGAGTGCAGTAGAGGGTCGCGGCATGTCACCACCACCAATCGCCACGGACAACGATAGTGCCTCTTTCAGTCGTGATATCGGATCTGTGCTGACCGGAAAGACCACCTCATATTCTGTTCAACACTCCCAATCAACTGGCTCTAATAACAATGTCACTCGTCGCACCACTGTAGGTGCAAGACCAAGTTACGTTCGTGATAACCATGGCTTTGAGGAGAATCCTTCCAAGTTACTCCAGACAGTTCGCGATGCGGATCAAGGCAACAATTGGTGTGCTGATTGCGGCTCCACATCTAAGGTCGAATGGGTGTCTATTAATCTGGGAATTGTCTTGTGCATTGAATGCAGTGGCATTCATCGATCGCTTGGGACACATATCTCCAAGATACGGTCTTTGACGCTGGACGTGCACTCTTTCTCAAACGACATCGTTGAAATCCTCCTGCAGATCGGCAACCGTGTCAGTAACATGATCTGGGAGGCAACACTTGACCAGCTGCACAAGCCAATCGCCACCTCTACTAGGGAGCAAAGGCTGAAGTTCATCACAGCCAAGTATAGTGAACGAGCATTTGTCCAAGCGCTACCCTCCCCCTTATCCCGCTTTGCTACGGCGGACGAGACTCTTCTTGCTGCAATCAAAAGAAATGATATCCAAGGCGTACTTTATGGCATCGCGCTTCGCGCCAATGTGAACATCACCGACCGTTCTCGCAATACTCATGCCGTGTTTCTGGCGCTAGCCGCAGCTGATCCTGCATCACCGGGGTCGGCCTCTAGTCTGTCAACCAGGTCACCTGCAGGTCCTCCTGTAAAAGCGATTCCTTTCCCGGTTGCAGAGATCCTCGTCCAGAACGGCGCCGAGATTTCTCTGCAGCCTCCGCCTATTCCCCTTTCGCCAGCTGCCCAACTATATTTGAGTCAGAGGACCGCAAGAGTGCCCAATTATATCAGTACTCCTTCCGCTCCTCCCACTGGGAAGAGT